GCCTCCCTGTAGGCAAAGGAGCCAAAGTTTCACCTCGCCAGCCAGCGTTGCTTCTGTGATCATACGTGCTGAAGCGCCTCCCGGGCTACCAGCAGCCCAGCTGCGCTCGCCCTCGGAGGGAGCCGCTCCACAGCGCGTGCCCCTGACGCGGCCAACGCGTGCTGGTGCTTCTTCGCGGTGCGGCAGGAGCCGTGGGACGTCTGCCTGTGGTCCCTACAACGAAGCTGCCCGCCGTGTAGTAAACACACAGGGAGGCTTCTGAGCACACAGAATCCAAGATGGATTTATATGCTACGCACACGGCTCCTACCTCTTAAAAATGTTAGGCATATTTATCTCAATCGCTTTGAAAGTGAAGGAGGTCAGAGCAGTCGTATCCTGCGTGGGCAGAGCAGTTAGCTACGTACTGGTTTATTTAAGCAGAGCATTTTATTTTTATGGGGAAAGTTATCTTCAAGTAGGTGAACAGAAGCTTGGAAAAAGCATTTTCAAAAACCCTAACTTGGGGCTACATGTTTTCTAGCGCCCTCCCCTACCCCCCAACGTAATAGAAAAGCAACATCTTTATAATTGGCTCTTGACATGCTGTTTGCGTTGGGCTGTGGCACACCAGGCACAGATTTCCTGTTGATGGAAACATTTATCATCGTGACTGCCCCAGAGTGGCAGGTGGTGTTATCAATTACCTCTTCTTACCAATAATAATATTAGTATGGTAATATCTTTGCTCAAGTGAGAACCAATTAGCAATCACTTGTCACAGCATTTAAGACACAAAATCATGCTGGATTTAATCCCAAGAACCAAAAACAAAATTTGGGGGGGGGGGGTGGAAGAATCAGAGAGAGAGAGCCAGTGAGTAGAGGAAAGGAATTTGGAAAGGAGAAAAGAATGAAAGGGGAGGGAAAATCAAAGTCCTAATATCTGAATGCTCTTTTTGTATTAAGTGGCTGGGGAAATAAACACTTGTAAACAAAGTGTCAAATGCAGCTTATGTAAAACCGTCTTTTGTGGCTGCAGAGCCAGGTAGCTTCAATGAGCTGTGACTGCAATTTAAATCAGAACCAACTATCCAAGCTCCCCTTTTCCAATCAATCTTGCAGATAGGCTTTCAGCTTTATCTGAATAAATGATACAAATTAAATGAAACACCTAATTACATGCTTCACTAATGTAAAATATACAGCATTAATTTGTAAATAATATTATTAAGCAGACAAAATAATAATGTGCCGCCTCTTAAGATGAAAACAACATTGCAAAAGGAAAGACAATTAACTAATTAGATTTAATTATAGAGAAGAAAAGCAACTTTTGTTTTTGCAATAGTGTTTAGATATGACAATATTTTAATAGACACTAGTCACGTGATGAAAGTGTGTGTGTGTCCCAAGCCCATTTCAATGTCTGCACCTCTGAAATCCGCTTCCCAGCGTCCCCTTACTGTGGACCCAGCCAGGGCACAGCCTGTCTCTCATCTGTGAATATCTTCCACTGACGCGTCGTCCTTCTGCAGTAGATCTATTGTTACCACTCAGACTTCAGATGCCAATGCCTTCATTAAAACTTGTCACATTGAATAAGAACAATTAAAAGTTTCAGATCTGAGTGTAGAGAAATGAGCAAGGAAAGGGAAGGGAACAAGTAAGGCAGGAAGTGATGTGCCTTTTGTTTTCAACCTTTATTTAAAAAAAAAATTAATCTTGTTCACCCAAGTCCACTTATACAAGGGAGCACCCCAGGAATGACTCACTCCAGTGCACCCTGTGGGCAGGCTCCGGCCTCCTCGGCCCCTTCTCCCCGCCTGTTCGTATCTTCTCAACGAAACCTCAGAGCTGCCTGCCGGGAGGGAGCCCTGGGGCCTGGAGCTCCACCCAGCCTGCCGGGGAGGGGACGGCATCCTCACCGGCGGTCCCGGGTGAAGAGCCCGGCGCCGGCGCCTCGCCGCTCCCCTGACGTCCACGCAGCCTGCCTCAGCACCACTCGGGCGTCGCACTGCGACTCTCCAACACTCCTGCAATCTGAAGGCTCGCTTCTTACACATGAAGGCCAAGGTCTCTGATTGGCCCTCATTGGGGGAACTTAAAAGAACCTTCCCACGTCCATAACTCGTAAAAAATGCATAGCAAATCCAGGAAGTTAAACGGTAGTAATTCGGAAGTCCAAGAAGACCTAGGAAATCACGCCAGGCTGTCGGAGAGAGGGGTGAGGGACGGGGGACTAGGCCTTAAGCATCAAGAAAGGTGAGAAGCGGCGCGCGCAGACTGACCCAACGAGGAGTAGGTGTCCCCGGCCTAGAGACTGCAGAGTCGAGCCGGCTCCTCCGAAAGGCCCGAGACAGACGCGTGAGAACCTGTTTGTATCTTCTCCTCAAAGAGTGTCCATTAAAACAAAAAGAAAGGAAAAAGGAGAATTAAGCAGGTCATAAAAGATAATGCACCTTTTAACCAGGACTTTGACCCACCGACGACCATTTTTGCGTTCTCTTCTAGAAAGTAGTCACAGACTTCTGCCTTTCAGCTGCGGCTCGGCGACTTCCCCAAACTCTTTGGTCGGGCAAATTCTCCAATAAACTTCCATTCTCCACAACCGCTCCCCTCCATCACTCCACAATCCCCTTTTCTCTCCCATCCCTGCAGTTTCTCTCTGCCTGTTTTCCAAGGAAAATTTTTTCACCCGCTCGCCCCAAAGCCCGACTGCAAACTTTTCACCGCCCGGCGCCTCTGTGCCAGACCAAGCGCGTCCCCCAAATGCCCGCAGCGTCTGCAAAAGTCCCTGGTGCACTTGGCATCAGGACGTTCCCCGGTGGCTTAACTACGGACAACGCTACCGAAGTGTGTGTGAAATGCGACAAAAACTCTAGATTTAAGACATCTTTTATTTGCCTTTTTTCTTTAAAAAAAAAAAATCACCCAAATGAATAAGCCCGCCACCAATAGGTAAAATAAAACCAACCTTAAGGATTTTTTTTTTTTTTTTTTTTTGCAAAAGTGGCGACGGGGGCTGTTTGGGGATGACTCCAACCTGTGCTCCTCCTTCCTCTGTACGATTTTCCTGCGTTTTCTTTGGAGCCCAAAGCTGTTGCTTCGTGGAACTTATACACTTAGAGGCGGGCAGGAGACGGCTGACTGGGGATCGGGAAGCTTCTAGAACGGAAAAAGCCGCCCGCGGAGAGTAGGGCGAGCAGCGCTGGGCTGGGGTCCGTTTGAGGGGGCGGAGAATTCCCCCAGCCAGGCAGACCCACCCCCAGCCCCTCTGGGAGCTCGCGGCCCGCTGGGCGAAGGAGTCTGGCTGGTCACTGCCGCTTTCCCCCCAGCGTGTGACACCGGGGAAAGCTGGGGGAGGCCATCTGTGCTGAAGCTTCATACCAGCCAGGGCTACTTGTAAGGACAAAAATACGAAATTTAGGAAATGAAAAAAGACACACTGGGGCGAGGGGCACTGGCTTCTTAAATGCAGGCAATGGGACCTGAGGCACATCCTGGCGGCCGTTCAGGGATGGAAGACACGCGGGAGAGCGCGCGGGCATGTGCACAGCTGCGGGTGGGAGAGCGCTCATGTGCGCGCGGGTGCGAGGGCGCGTGCGTGTGACCGCGGGCGAGGGGGCGGGCGCGTGTGCTGCGAGCGCGTCGCGCCAGCTGCCCGAGGGTGTGGGGCTGGTCCAGACCGTGCACATCCCTTCACCTGCCCCCCCCCACCCCGGTCACCCCGCAATCCGAGAACACGGTGGACTGTGCGCCGGACTTTTGTGGAGTTGGAACTTTCAATCGCGCACGCTGCCCGCTCCGCAGTCACCCAGGCTGCGGATGCTCGGGCCACAGTGCCCGTTGGGAAGGGAAGATTGGGGTAGGGGGCACCAGGACCCTCTGTTCCCTCCCCGCCCTGCATTTAAGAAGCCACCAGCGTCGGAGAGGCCTGGCGGCTGGCGTGGGGGCCGAGGCGGCCCGGGTGGCGGCGGC